ATATATATATATAAACTATATATATATATATATATATATATATATATATATATATATATATATATATATATATATATATATATATATATATATATATATATATAGAATTAGATTTCGTTGTTTACAAAAACATTTGGCAGAGTGCTCAATGGATATCCAGAGCATAATTAAATAAGTGCAACGACTCAACAAATTCCACTAGGCATCTTTATTACTATTAGTTTCGTACCACAAGATGTGGCACTCATCAGATAAATTAGCCTTATGACTACAGCAAAAAACCTACAGTATTTATGTACAAGTGGATGAAAGCTTTAAATTAATCCTATTTACAAAGCACGCAAAGCAATGATTTTGTTACTTGATAAAATTGACAGGACGCGGAAGTATTAACAACACATCAGCATAACGCCAAGCTATTAAGATTGCGCGGTATATTTAAAACAAAAATATGTCTGTCTCGAGTGCATGCCCTTTAAATGTTAGCTAAAAGAAATTTTTTCGCATGTCTGCACGAAGACACTAATTCATTACGTTTGTTCAAAGTAGCTAGTTCAGGTTTTTTAGTAGCTAGTTCAGCTTTCATCCACTTGTACATAAATACTGTAGGTTTTTTGCTGTAGTCATAAGGCTAATTTATCTGATGAGTGCCACATCTTGTGGTACGAAACTAATAGTAATAAAGATGCCTAGTGGAATTTGTTGAGTCGTTGCACTTATTTTATATATATATATATATATATATATATATATATATATATATATATATATATATATATATATATATATATATATATATATATATAAATATAATTTTTACAATTTACACAGCGTTCTCCGGATTGTAATATTTTTGTTATTGAGCTTTCGACTCGGTACTTCGAGTCTTAATCAGAATTAGGATTGATAATTTGAATAATTGCGCTTTTGTGCACGCTGTTGGAGTCTGTGAGAACGTCTGATTGGTTGATGGATTTCAGAACGTTGGTTGTCATTGGTTGCCATGGAACGCCGGTGATTATTGTTATCATGAGGCGGTGTAGGTTGATAATCTCAGTAACGATCGCCGTTTTGATTGGTTGTTATTTTCGTGCATCCAAATGTCTGTCCACTTTTCATCGACTTCAGTAGCAGGCTCTATTTCAAGCATATAGAGCCTGACACGCATGCAGGCTATGTTAAACTATGCATTTTGCTTTATGGCTGGTTACTATAATTTCATTGGATAGGCCTAATATTAGCAATATGTTGAGGGTATCTGTCAATATTATGCAGTTCCAAATACCTGTACTTTTGGGACTTTCTTTTCTCGTTTATATAGCTAACAAATTTCGGAAAATGAGCTGCTTAAATGCTTACGGTCGGAAACGTGCGCGGCAAACAATACATGCATTGCTTTCATTGTTTCTCATGGCTTGAAATGGAATTATACGAAAATGTTATTGAATGTGAGATACAGTATAATATATACAAGCAGGGAAATATTACCATGTGAGTAGAGTGCAACATACGCTGTAAGAAGAACCAGGAAAACAAAATATAGAATTGCGTTCAGGAAATACCACGTTCGAGCTGTTGATGAATTCATTTTTTTCTTTAAAAATAACCGTACGAGTGGATGTGAAAGGCATTCGTCGAGTCCAACAAAAGCCCATTTGCTTATGGCTTCAATGTAATCACCATCAGAATCTGTATGTTTATAAATGAAAATGAGAAAAATATATCTCAATAATGTACTGTTCAATTTGTGTTTTATGGTTTCGGTATAAGCATGTATATGCATGGCTTCAAATTAATATACTTCCTGTTTGACCTATATTTGGGGTCAATAACTTGTCCAGGCAACACAACCAACCAACCAACCAACCAACCAAAACAAAACAAAACAAAACAAAACAAAACAAAACCAAAACCAAAACCAAAACCAAAACCAAAACCAAAACCAAAACCAAAACCAAAACCAAAAACCAAAA